CTGAACCCTAAACCCCTACACCCTATACTCCTAAAGCCCTAAGCCCTAAGCCCTAAACCCTAAACCCTGAACCCTTAAACCCCTAAACCCCCAATCTGGGGAGAGCTCCCCCGAAGTGCCCCTTGTAGCTTTAGGGCCTATAGGGTTTAGGGCTTTGGGTTTAGGTTTTAGGGTTTAGAACGTTGGGTTTAGGGTTTAGGGTTTAGAACGTCGGGTTTAGGGTTTAGGGTTTAGAACGTTCGTTTTAGGGTTCAGGGTTTAGAACGTTGGGTTTAGGGTTTAGCACTTTGGGTTAGGGTTTAGGGTCTTTCAATCTTGGTACTCCACTCAATCCCCGTCACTCTGAACCCTAAACCCCAACACTCATGAACTCTGTTCCAAAGACTGAATAGCACCAACAGAAAACAACACTCTCAAGCTTGATTCTAAAGCCCAACACGCAACTATCAAGCCCAATCCAAGCCTGCCACGACCAGCGAGCCCACCATCAGCAATGGAAATCCGATGAAGCGGGCGACGGGACCCAGAGCAAAGACCTTCCGGCTTTTGGCATTTGCCCTCTAAGGGAACCCTAAACCCTAAACCCCTAGACCCTAAACCCTAAACCCCTAAACCCCTAAACCCTAAACCCCTAAACCCTAAACCCCTAAACCCTCAACCCTAAACCGTCCCTTTGAGGGAAGCCTGAAAGGAACCTTATGGGTCCCGTTTAAGGGGTCTCTTCAAACAAACCTCCAAGGCGAAGTCTATAATCCGAAACCCCTTAAAAACACCAAAACCCTAAACCCTAAAACCATGAAGTCCTAAACCCTAAAGACATAAAACTCTAAATCCTAAACCCCTAAACCCGAAATACATAAAACTCTAAACCCTAAATCCCTAAGCCCTAAGAGCATCAAGCTCTAAACCCTAAATCCCTAAACCCTAAAAACATAAAACTCTAAACCCTAAATCCCTAAACCCTAAACCGGATCCAGCGTCAGCCGTCTCAAGCCTGATAGGCCTCAAGGTCTTCGGCCCTCTGGGGGCTTAAAGGGATCTCAGGGTCTCTGGTGTTTAGCATTTTAGGAACTGCAGAAGGTTTAGGGTTTAGGGTTTAAGGTTTAGGGTTTAAGGTCCAGGGTTCAGGGTTTAGGGTTTAAGGTCTAGGGTTCAGGGTTTAGGGTTTAAGGTCTAGGGTTGAGGGTTTAGGGTTTCGGAGCATCTAGGCGCAGCTGGCTGAAGGAAGCTGGAACTCAAGGTGATTGGCGTAAATTTCTTCAACACCAGGGTGGGCTTTCGTGTGCACAGCTGAAGAAGGACTGCCATAAACCCCTAAACGCCCCAGACACCCTAGCAAACCTTGTAGCAGAACCCTAAACCCTAAACCGTGAACGAACATTAAGGTCTAGGCAGGAATCTGCAGAAAGCTTGAGTCAGGGAGAAAATGCCTGAAACCCAGAGCACCACCTAGAAAATCCTATAGCCACTATAAACTTGTAAGATTCAGGGTTTATAAGACTTAGGGGTTTAGGGTTTAGGGGTTTAGGGGCTTAGGAATTTTAGGGTAGGGTCTACAGGGCATAGGGGTGAAGGGACCCTTAGGGGGGCTCCCTACTCCCCTGAGGGTCCCTATGAGTTGAGCACTCAGTGTGGTTTAGGGTTTAGGGTTTAGGGTTTAGGGAGGACTCGTTGAGAAATAATGCTGCAGCTCAGGAGCTAGGAACACAGAGGGCCACGTCTGAAACATCCACGCCATGCCAGACATCACCACAGAGAAATTGTATTCCTGCTCTTGCCAAGCCATCGGAAAACATGCAGAGGCTTTCTTTGGACACTGGGAAGACTACGGCAAAAGCTTTCGGTTTAGGGTGCAGGCATATCGTCATTAAGGTGTTGGTCGGGGCTGCTTCGGCTCTGTGATGAACGATGACGATGATGCAATCGCAGTAGACACTGAGAACATCATGATGGCATCATGAACACTCCGTTTGCGAAAGATAAAGACAGCAAAACCTAGGACACAAGGCACAGTTGCAATAGTAGTCTTCTTCTTGATAATGCTCAGACGTAGATTTTGTTGCTGTCCGCGCCGTCGTTGTTGTAGTCTGGTCTTATGGTGCCGGGACAGCCTAAGCAGCAGCTTCCACCCGAGCAAAGAAACACCTCGAAGCTTGCGTGATTCATGAAAGCCCTCCTCGGTACAACAGAACTTCCACCGCAACGCCCTTAAAGCCTAAACCTTAAGCCCACAACCCCGAAACCCGAAACTCTAAACCTTAAGGCTTTATCTGATCATCATGGCAGTCTGACCAGTAGGGTCAGGAAAGCAATCCATAAAAATCAGGGGCCGACACTAAAACAGAAGCGCAACCCCTTACTGAACCACTCGCGTTTAGGTTTAGGGTCTATAGGGTTTAGGGTTTTGGGGTAGCCACCACAGGACATGCCAAGCAGAATGAACGGGTCGTAATTATCTAGGTTTCTGTATGTATAATCCAACCTGCAAGCTCGTAAACCCTGAACCCAAAGCCTGTATAAACCCGAAAGCACCAAACCCTGCACCCCAAACACTGAACCACAACACCCAAAGCCATAAACCCTGCCTGAACGACCCCGGAAACCTCAATTCCACGTAAGACTATATTGCTGAACACGCGAAGGGCCCTCCAACCTCCTGCAGAAGTCGAGGCGTAACTGTCTGGAGTGCTCCGGTGAACCTTAGCCAATTAGGAGTTGTGTTCGTGGCTAGATAGGTTTGGGGGTTGAGGATATTTGCCTTCGAGGCGCATAGTGTATGTGTATACTGTGAGGATTCGCGCGCTGCTTCCGAACTTCCACCACTTCACGAACATAATATCTCCTTTAGCCCCTATAAGTCCTATTCTAATTATTAAGGCCCTAGTATAGAGACTTATTATAGAACCCTTTCAGGATCCCTTTAATGTTATAACAATCTTGTAGCCGACGCCTTTGGGTTTTTTACTCGTTGATCCCGAGGCCTAGAACGCTCAAATCAAGGCCTAGGGCATGAAACTATCAACACGAAGCCCCCCACGGTTTAGGGTTTAGGGTTTAGTGTTCCCCGCACCCCTTTGACTAAGGCCTGCCACACTTAAAATTCGGGTTTAGGGTTTAGGGGTTGACGGTTTAGGGGTTTAGGGTTTAAGGGTTCAGGGGTTCAGGGTGGAGTATGTCAAGGACCCAAAGAAATCTCGCAATCCAAGGCTTCAGTCTGAACAACTACACCCGAGCTCCTAGATCCTAAACTCTAAGCTGACATAACACTACACGTGGCCCCCAAAACCCTCAACCTAAACCCTTAGCATCAAAAAGCCCTCAACCATAACCTTCAAGTCCAGGACTTATATAACCTGTGCCCTGACCCTTGGACCCTCACCCTATTATTAAGCCTAAACCCCAAAAACCTTAAGATCCCAAAAGACTAAATTCTAAACCCCTAAGCCGTAAAGGTCCCTAAACTCTAATGCCTAAACCCTAAACTATAAACTCTTGAAACCCCTAAAGCCTTTAAGCCCTAAACCCTCAACCCTTTAAAGCCCAAAACTCCATTCCGTCCCAGCCACATTAGAAGCAGGGAGACGAGCAGGATCGGCTTCAGGGTCCTCATTGAAGTTCCGGTTTTTGGGTTTTAGGCTTTTGCTTATACTGGGGTTTAGGGGTTTAGGATTGAAGTTCCGGTTTGTGAGTTTTAGGCTTTTCTTATACTGGGGTTCAGGGGTTTAGGTTTTCTTATGTACAGCTTTAATCCTTTCCCCCTAATCTTAAACGGGGTGGGGGCCTCCCCTCTCCCCCCAATGGATACTCGGAAAGTGTGTTTATTATAAGGGGCTTTGTTTATCTCTACTGCAACTTTTGAGGGGACGTGCTCTTGCTCCTGCTCTGGCTCTTGCTCCCGCGCTGGCTTTTGCTCCTGCTTTTGCAGTTCTTGCCCTTGCTCCTACTCTTGCTGCTGCTCCCGCTTTCCGCTTTTGCTCCTGCTCGCTCGTACTCTGCTCTAAGGGTATTTGGAGCCTCGAAACCCTCCCCCTAATTCAGAATAGGGTTTGAAGGGCAGGGATGATTTCGGGAGGATTGGGCCCAATGTGTGCTCATTATTAAGGGGGTGTTTAATGAAAGGGGCAAGCGATTAGGGTTTCAGGGATTTAGGGATTTATTGCAGGGTTTAGGAAGTTAAGTTTGTGGTATGCAAGGGCTTAGGTTTAGGGGTTTAAGTCTTCTTTTTAACTAAGGGTTTCGGGTTTTGGGGTTTTGGGTTTGGGGCTTTAGGGTTTTAGGGTTTTACGGTTTGAAGGCTATTCGCCTTCCGTTGCCGTATGAAAGTTGGGGATAATTTAGGGCTTCGGGCTTCGGGTTTCCGGTTTCAGGTTAGGGCTCAGGGTTTGGAGCTTGAGGTTCGGGGTTTGGGGTTTATATAGGCCCTTGAAGACCTCTCCCTCTTTATATTCAATAAGAGCCGTATCGTCACTAATAGTGGGTTTCTGAGGGGGAGCAGAAGGTACCGTAAGGGCCTTAGTGCTTGCCAAACGGGTTTTGGTGTATAGTCGCAGGACAGCAAGGCTCAAAGTTGGGGATGTATGGATTCCGGGGAAAAATATCCGAATTGTAGAAAAATATATGGGAAGCTGACGAAGAAACCCTGGGTCTTTATTTAGGTTCTGCAGATGATTCCTAATACCTTGGAGATAAAGAGCCAGGGATTCTTAATCAGGTCCTTGTTAATGTAGGGGCCTCAATAATTAGAATAGGGTTTGGGGGCCCATTATACTATAGTCATAATAAGACCCTCAGCATAGTATAGGTAATTATTTAGGCCCTGTATTACATCAGGGCGCTTGCACGGCTTTGTGTGCAGATGGCGGCTTGGGGACAGGTCGTCATAAGTTGGGATTCTACTCCATGTACCCAAATAGTAATAGTAAACTTTGGCCTTAGAGTAGTGCCTATATACGTACCTTGGGGCCAAAGTATATACTAGTTGGATACATGGACCTGCAGGGTTTCACAGAGGTATTTGTTCGTCCCTATAGCGCGTGTCATCAACCGCAAGTTCGAGGCCCCCCCAGCTTGAAAACGAAGAGCGGACAAACCCTAAACCTTAAACCTTCACCCCCAAAACCCTAAACCGTTTAGGGTTTAGGGTTTAGCGCTTAGGGCTGCTTGAAAAGCTTCTGCCTACACCGACCCAGCCACGAGCCCTGAAGCAGAAACGCCGCGAAACTTCACATGCGACCTCGACGTGGAGTGCCCAAGAACTGACGCCCTTCCCAAAGGCCCCATGTACCTATATGGTAGATAGTTACATAGTCCTTTATCAACATACCTATGTGCGAACCCCTTTAAAGATTTTAAAGCCTAAGTGTGTAGTAAACATGTACCGTACACACGGAGTCGTAGTGCTAGATTCCTGCATAATATGTCCAAGGTGCACGCGGTCATACATGACGTCAAAGAATGTAGCGGTGTCTGGTTCCGTTGCCTGCACTCCCCAAGCCCCTCGTGCCCCCCATAGTCCAAACTTAAAGTGCCTTAGCTTTCAACTCTCGGCTTACTGGGAGCACTTAGTGATACGGATACCCTAGACCCAAAACCTAAACCAACCGACATGCCTGCGTTCAGTCTCAACAAACAGCTGGAGAGTGATGAAGTGTTTTGCTCCGGTCCCTAAGCCCCGAACATCAACCCCTGAACGGTTAAACCCTAAACCCCTATGCTTTCATATGTCGGACTGACCTAGCTACTACTTCCACTACGACTACTACTACTACTACTACTGCTGCTGCTGCTGCTGCTGCTACTACTACTACTACTACTACTACGACTACTACTTCGACGACGACGACTACGACTACGACTACGACTACGACTACGATAACGACTAC